TCTGTCCTGTGATGGCACACTTGGTGTGATTCTCTGGCTTAGGACTGTTCACTGGAGCACTAAAACTGCTTTCTATGCGAGAGCTTGTTTAGCCTTCAGCTTCTCCTCCGCCATCTTCCCGGCACCACTTGTTTAGTTTTATTGCGTGTTGCCACACTGACCCCCACTGACTTCCATGTGGTGTGTGTGCACGCCATGCTGCGTTTCCACCAGTAGTGACTGAACACTTGTTCATGTTGTTCCACATCCTCATCAGCATGTACTATTTTCAGCCTTTTGTATTTTAGTCAACATAACAAATGTGTAATGATGAGCAAGTCTATGAAGGCAAATAATGTCGAGCCTCTTTCCATAGGCCTACTGTATGTCTGTTGAGATCTTTGCTTTTCAGTTGGATTGTTTTCTTCTTTCCTTTCTGGTGGGACTGAGTGCCTTGCTGGACAGGCAGGTACTCTAACACTTGAGCCATGCATGTCCCTGGTCCTTTTCACTTTCATTATTTTTCAGATTGGTTATTTCCTGGTTCCATAAAATAACAAGGAGACCAGTTCTCAGACTGCCATCTCCCTACCCCTGCCTTCTTCCTGTGCAGCTAGTATCACAGGCATATACCCAAGATTGGAATTTTGTTAACTTTTTGTCCAGATTGGACTTGAACTTCTTCTATCCCACTGTAATTGCCTCTTGCATAGCTGTCATTACAGACATGTACCACATGCCAACTGTTTTCTTATAGAGTTTTCAGAATTCCTTATATGTTTTAATTAAAAGACCTAACAAGGGTCCCCTCTATAGCACAGTCTAGTGTGGTTGAGGAGGCATCTGTGGGAATAGAAGATCCTGCTTAGAAAATTCCTCTCCAGCTGGGAAGGTGGCTCAGTGGTAGAGCGCTTGCCTTGCATGCATGAGGCCCTGGGTTCGATTCCTCAGCACCACATAAGCAAAAAGAAAAAAGCCAGAAGTGGGAAGTGGCGCTGTGGCTCAGGTGGTAGAGCACTAGCCTTGAGCTGAAGAGCTGAGGGACAGCACCCAGGCCCAGAGTTCAGGCCTCACTACTGGACCCAAAAACAAACAAACAAAAAATTTTTTTTTCAGATAAAAACAAAAAAAAAAAGAAAATTCCTCTCTATTAACTAGGAGGGATAAAAACAAACTTTTTTTCTTTTTAATAAGCCATGGGAGCTTGAAACACGTGAAATTTAGATATCCAACTTTTGCCTATCAGTGTATCTAATATACTTTGAATTTCAGGTTTGGTTGCATTGTATCTTTTAATTTAGTGTTTGGCTTTAGAAGTATACCTATCATTGGTGACTAAAATGGTTCATTTAAATACATGCATGTATCTGAGATAAAATGTGTCCAATGAAAATGGGAAGGCTTAAGTGTCTTTGTGACATGGTAAGGCTTAAGTGTCTTTGTGACTACTTTGAAACACTACTGTATTTCTTTATGCACAATCATAGAAAGACAATCTATTACTTGGTATAGTACTAGTTATGAGCATTTTCTGGTTGATTCATATTGGTTTGTGACAGTAATACAAAGTTTATGTTTACCCCTCGCCCTAACACACACAATTTCATTGATAGGAAATTAAGATCCAGAGAGTTTAAAGCCACTCAGTTAAAATATGGCAGAGTTTGGAACTGATCTAGGTCTCTTCGGTCTTGAAATCTGGGCTCTTTCATAACATCTGCTACTCTTCATTTGCATATGTACTTGACTTCCTGGCTTCCAATGAAGAGCAATGGGTGACTGATACATTGGGATCTGCACTGGACCAGAAATGGGTCCACTGACTTAACAAGCTATCTAACTGAGGCTGATACAATAGATTCTACAGTATAAAAGGATAAAAAAGGCTATACATAATTATTCTGATAGCTGGGTTTTTTCATGTCCACCAGTTATGTAAAAGTTGAGAGAGTCCAGGTATAACCTTAACGAAAATAAATACCTCATGCTTTTTAACCTTTGACTTTGTGGTCCTAGGATAACAGATTTACCAAAGGCTTCCTCTGTATTTCAGACAGATTATGAGGGACAAGCTAAGAAACTGCTGGAACTGATGGAAAGCACAGATGTGATCATTGTTGCTGGAGGAGATGGGACGCTGCAGGAGGTATGGCTTTTTCTCTTTGAGGCTACTTTGAAAGCAAGAAAAAAAGACATTAAGTTTCAGAACAATGATGTAAGTACTTATCATTTAAGGAAATTTGTTTTTTCTTTCTTTTTTTTTTTGTGGATCATGAGGCTTGAACTCTGGGACTGAGTGCTGTCCCTCAGCTCTTCAGCTCAAGGTTAGTGCTCTACCACTTGAGCTACAGCACCACTTCCAGTTTTCTGGTGGTTTATTGGAGATAAGAGTTTCACAGACTTTCTTGCTGGGGCTGACTTTGAACTGCAATCCTCAGATCTCAGCCTCCTGAGTAGCTAGGATTACAGGCGTGAGCCACCAGCGCCCAGCTGGAAATTATTTTTCTTATAGTTTTTTTTTTTTTTAGGACAAATGTTTTAAACTAGTGTAGCTGTAACATTTTATAGGGGCTTCTATTTTATTTGTTTTTGTAAAACCCTCTATTCAACACAAGAGTTTATTATTAAACTTACTTGATAAAACAGAAGACAAAATGGTGGTGGGTAGGATAAGCTTGTTACACTTGGAAAACTTCTATAAAATAGTTCTGTTTGTAAAGGGTCCTTAGTTTCAATTATGAGAAATATTTCCTTTTCTTTTTTACAATTTTTTAAAATTTTATTGTTAAAATGTACAGAGGGGTTACAGTTACGTGAGTAAGGCAATGAGTACATGACTTGTTGATCATTGTTACCCCTTCCCTTCCTTGTGTTGTTCCACCATCCCTTCCCTCCCCCACCTCCCACACTCCTCTCTGGAGGCTGAGATCTGAGGATCATGGTTCTAAGCCAGCCCAGGCAGGAAATCCCATGAGACTTTTATCTCCAATTAAGCACCAGAAAACCAGAAGTGGTGCTGTGGCTCAAAATGGTAGAATGTTAGCTGTGAGCAAAAGAGCCCATAGGCAGTGCCCAGGCCTTGAAAAATTCCATGACCAACAAGAAATGAAAGAAGGAAAAAAAGAAAGAAAGAGAAAGAAAGAAAGAAAGAAAGAAAGAAAGGAAGGAAGGAAGGAGGAAAGAAAGAAGGGGAGAGGAATGGAGGGAGGGAGGAAGGAAAGGAGACAGGTAGGCAGGCAGACAGACAGGAAGGAAGAAAGGAAGAAAATTAATTTAAAAACTTAAAATTAAGGGGCTGGGAAGGTGGCTCAGTGGTAGATTGCTTGCCTTGCATGCATGAGGCTCTGGGTTCGATTCCTCAGCACCACATAAGCAAAAAGAAAAAAGCCGGAAGTGGCGCTGTGGCTCAGGTGGTAGAGCGCTAGCCTTGAGCTGAAGAGCTGAGGGACAGCGCCCAGGCCCAGAGCTCAGGCCCTACAAAAAAAAAAAACAAAATTAATTTAAAAACCGCCTGAAGTTGTAAAGTTTGTTTCCAATATCCTGTCCTGTGGGTATCCTTGTTGCAATGGGCCATCCTGTGTCCTTGTTTCAGCATTTTGTTATTCCCTTTCCCCTCCCCAGATTAGACATATGTATTTACAAGATGCAGGGTATCAAAATCAAGTACAGTGACAACAGGGGATATGCCATATAGGAGAAAGAACATACAAAGGAAACAACAACAAAAATAAATCACATGGTACATTTAAAACAATAACAGCGAAGACAGATCCTTACGAATAAAACTTAAAGATTCTTTTCAAGAGAATGTATATATCCATCTTTTTTTTTTTTCATTGCTAGCAACCAAACACTGGGCATTGTAAATGCTAGGCAAGCAGTCAACTGTGGAGTTGCCTTTGTTTTACTCTTATATAGTCTTAGTGAGATACCACTACACATCTGTTAGAATGGTCAAAACCAGCTGGGTGTGGTGAAATACCTATGCTATCACAGCTACTTGAGAGGCAGAGACAAGAGGACCAAAGGATTGATTCTACGCCAGTAGGCAAAGTTAGTGAGATCCTGTCTGAAAAACAAATTACAAGCAAAATGCCTGGAGGAGTGGCTCAAAAGACCGAAATTCAACCCCCATTACTTCAAAAAAGAAAGAAAAAAAAGAAAAGAAAACCTCAAAATGAACAATGTCAGATTATTAGAAAGACTATGGAGTAACAGGAATGCTTGCTTATGGCAGGTGGAAATCAAAACACATGTAAATGATGGCATTTGGGTGCTAATGTATTATGTATTATGGTAGGCTCTTCAGTGATAACAAATGTACCACTTGGTTGGAGGTTGTTGGTAATGGTTAGGGCACTGTGTGGGAACTCTGCATCTTCTCAATGTTGCTGGGAACATAAAACTTGTTTTAAAATAAAAGTTTACTTTTTTACTTTTTAATTTTTAAATTAATTTTAATTTTTAAATTAATTTTCTTCCTTTCTTCCTTCCTATCTGTCTGCCTGCCTGCCTGCCTCCCTTCCTTCTTCCCTCCCTCCCTTCCTCCCTCCATCCCTCTCCTCTTCTTCCTTCCTTCCTTCCTTCCTCCCTCCCTCTCTCCCTCCCTCCCTCCTTCCCTTCCCAGCTCCCTGGCCCTCCCTCTCTCTCTCTTTCTTTCTTTCTCTCTCTCTCTCTCCCTTCCTTCCTTCCTTCCTTCCTTTCTTTCTTTCTTCCTTTCCTCTTTCTTTTTTTCTTTCTTTCTTTTGTTCTTTCTTTCATTTCTTGTTGGTCATGGAATTTTTCAAGGCCTGGGCACTGCCCATGGGCTCTTTTGCTCACAGCTAACATTCTACCATTTTGAGCCACAGCACCACTTCTGGTTTTCTGGTGCTTAATTGGAGATAAAAGTCTCATGGGATTTCCTGCCTGGGCTGGCTTAGAACCATGATCCTCAGATCTCAGCCTCCAGAGAGGAGGCTAGGATTAGAGGCATGAGCCACCAGCACCTGGCTAAAGGTTTGCTAATGTAAAAAAGTGATACACTCTTACTGCTTGCTTTCACCCAGCGAAGAGAGTGTTTTGTCCTGCAAGTGTTCTTTCATCCCCATAATAAGCCAGTGCAGTCTTTACGTACCAGAAGTCCCTGGAGAGTCCAATGGAGGGGATTTTGCCTGATGCTCATTAGCCCATCCTCTCCCCTTCATACCCACACCTCATTTCTGATTGCCTTTCATCTCCATTTGGTAGCTTCCTGTGTATGTAGGGGTCAGAAGCTAATAGCAGACAATGCTGTCCTGTTTGACTTGGCACTTGTGTGAGCCTTCCTAAGCTTCTTTTAGAAAAAGGCTTTGATAATGAACTTGTAATTGTTTTTATGGCTTTTTAATGAAGTGTGAAGAGTTCTTATAGCATAACTACAAAGAAGGAAATAGACCTCTTTCAGATGAGGGAGGTTTCAGCGCTTACTTGACAAAATGTTTTGAAGGAAAGAAAATGAATTATGTATTTACTATATTTGGAGCCATTAAAATAGGCATTGATTAAAAGAAGATTATGGAGAATATATCAAATATATCACATATATCAAATGTGAAAAAATGGCTAATGATTACTCAATGTGATAGAATTGTGAGAAATTATTTTTCTTCAGATATCTTTCAGTTTCATAATAGTATTTCCCCTTTTTGTATTCCTCAATAAAAACCATTTACTTTTGCAAATTTTACTGAGTATATCAAAGTAGTTTTTCCTATTTGACTGCTTCTTAGTGAATTGTATAATTAATATCTACGTCACATTTTATATATAGAACTTAAAACACAGACATTAGTCATAGGTTCTATAACACATGACCTTACTAATATAATATGGGGTTTTTGTAATTATTTTAGCCTTAATAGATCCTAGGTCAAAGATAAAATCCAATTTAGCTCTAATCCTATTTGAAAATACAGCATGTTTTAAGATTCAGTATATCATTTAACATAGTTTCTAGGAAGAAAATGTATAAGTTTATGGTCCATGAAAACTGAATCCATAAACAAAATAACACGTTGTTTATAATATATTTTTTTAACATTTGTAGGTTGTTACAGGAGTTCTTCGAAGAACAGATGAGGTAAGCTTTCCCTAAAAGAATAATTACATTTTGAGTTTTTATTTTCTATTCTTTTCACTTTTATTCTTTATCTGACCCTCCATGTTTTAAGTATACACACACACACACACACACACACACACACACACACTATAAGTAAGGTTTTTGGTGATATGAAATTTTTGGGTGTATGATTTTTTTTTTAACCCAGGGCCTTGTTTATGCTAAGCAAGTGCTCTACAACTTGAGTTATACCTCCAGCCCATTTTTCACTTATTTTTTTGTTCTGAGGACAGGGTCATGCTCTATTCAAATGCAAGATCTTCCTGTCTTACCGTCTGGAATAGCTGGGGCTATATGTGTATACCACCATGCCTGGCCACCATGTTGTATTTTAAATTGTGATAGGATTAGATTATAGAAAAGACAGTACCGCTGCCTCTGTCATAAGATATGCTAATAAACCCCCTCCAGCCTTTCTGTAGTGTGTGTGTGTGTGTGTGTGTGTACGTGTGCACGTGTGCGCGCACTGGTCCTGGGGTTTGAACTCAGGGCCTGGTTGCTGTCCTTGAGTTTTTTTGCTCAAGGCTAGCATGCTGTCACTTGAGCTACAGCTCCACTTTTGGCTTTGGCTTTTTTGATAGTTTATTAGAAATAATAGTATCATGGACTTTGCTGCCAGGGCTGGCTTCAAACCACAATCCTCAGATCTCAGCCTCCTGAGTAGTTAGGATTATAGGCATGAGCCACTGGTACCCAGCTGCTTTTTTTTTTTTTTTTTTTGCTGGTCCTGGGGCTTGAACTCAGGGCCTGGGTGCTGTTTCTCAGTCTATTTGTGCTCAAGGCTAGCACTCTACCATTTAAGCCACAGTGCCACTTCCAGTCTTTTCTGAGTAGTTTATATGGAGATAAGTGTCTCACAGACTTTATTGCCTGGTCTGGCTTCAAACTGTGATCCTCAGATCTCAGTCTCCTGAGTAGCTAGGATTATAGTGTGAGCCACCAGCACCCAGCAACTTTTTCTTCTTAATCCTGCCTGCCCTGTAATTTATAACAGTTTTGTATAAAACAAAATTTTTGAGCTGGATGTGTAACTGAAAGTGGTAGAGCACTTATCTGGGGTTCGTTGTTAAAACATCTGAAGCAAAATGGCAAATGCTAACATTTGTTAAATCTGGGTAGTGGATTCATTTGTTAAATCTGATTATTTATAGTATTATCTCACGTATTTTTTTAGAAGAGTTAAAATATGAATGAAAACAACAAAACAGATCCTTCTTGGTCCCTTTAATAATAATTTGTGCTCTGGATAGCCTTTGAAGGTCCTTAAAGTATCTACTGTATTTGCTGCATTTAATTAAATCTGCTGCTATGCTATTACCTGTGCCACTTGATTTGCTTGTTCTCTTTGCCTTATTTGTACTTGAGATTATTTCGTGTCATTGATCAATGTACACGTTTCTAATTGAATTTAGTCTGCTACTTTTTCAAATAGTATAATGACAGGGTGCAGTCTCTGTCATACTAATGTATCGATCCAACAGCTGTTAAGTTCTGCATTAGCTTAACTAAGTTTCTTTTAAAACAGTTCTCATTAATGAGTTATCCAGGTGTTTCTTCCAAATTCCAAGTCATTGTATTTCCCTTGTTTGCTTTGCTTTAGGGACTGCTCATTGATAGGTAGTATTTTATTACTGGCCTAGAGATGGGGGAGGGGAGATAGGGAGGCTGACATAGGACTAGTTACTTGGTTATGGTGGATGCACATTGCTGGTCCACTGAGCCTTATCTCTGCCATACAACAAAATGTTCTCTTTTTGTTTCCTCAGGCTACCTTCAGTAAGATTCCCATTGGATTTATCCCACTGGGACAGACCAGTAGTTTGAGCCATACCCTCTTTGCTGACAGTGGAAACAAAGTCCAGTAGGTTGTCAATATGGAATGTTGGCATCTGTGGGTGAGCGAGCTTGGGAATGAATAAAAAGTTTGTTTTTTTTTATTTTGAGTTTTGATAGCCTGAAACCTGAAATAATTGGGAGGAGAGTTCAATCTTCCAGGTCACTGAGAAGTTTCCCACTTGGGTTGTGAGACTGTCTCATCTAATAGGAAGTTCCCTGTGGGGTGTGAAGTGAATTCTTTATGTCCTCAGTCATGAAGCTGTCTCTCATCCAAAGTGTTTTTATGCTTTCACATTGTAAGAGTCTTTTGCGAGGGTAGATTCACACAGATCATTTGTTGGCTTTAAATATACACAATAACAAATGCCAAGTCCCTTGTGAAGACTGAACTGAGAGCTTTGGCTGCATTATCTTGATGCTAGAAATAGCTAAAACCCCAACTACAGTCTCATCCTTTGGGACTGCCTAAAGTGGTAGACAATATGGATAAAGTAGACAAGGAAAAGCACTGTTGCCTGGACATCTACATTAAATTGATATGAGTCTTAACAAAAAGTCTTCTGACTGTTCAGGAGTCAGGCTGATTGTTGTTATTATTATCCTATTTTCTTGAAAGCATTATATGATCAAAGCATAGTCTTTCAAAACGGTAAGGATCTTCAATTTCAGGGCCAACTTTCACAGTGATTAATAACAACCCCGAGCAAGTGGTTGTCAGAAAGATCTGAGTAAGTAGAGAGATATCTGAGAGTCTTTAAGCTTTGTGACACATTAGAAGTAAGTAAATCTTTGCTGAATGAATTAGTTGAAAATTCCTTGTAACTTTTCTATTTATAATCTTCTAGACCAGTGATGATGATGATGATAGTAATAAGATTGAGGTGATTTTTTTTTCTTTTTTGGCTAGGGTATTTTTCTGCTTTGGAATGTTTTCATTAAGCGGATTCTCAGATTGATTTTTGCTGTTGTAATTCTAGGAATCAACTATTGTATCTTTTAACACATTTATTTATTTTTAAAGCTTGTGTGCAAGATAACCACTAGACATACATACAGATATATGTCAGACCTTTGTTCTGTTCAGCAATTGAATAGGCATCCCAAGGCCTAGAAAACAGGAGAGGCCTTTTCAGTAGATAATACTTTTTGGTTGCAATTTGGAATTTTTGAAGGCCAATAGATAACAATAAATGAGTTATTAAAGAATTTTTGCATACCTGAGATAAATCTCATTGAGTTTGGGTCCTGATTATGTTAGCGAACTTGTGCCAACACAGGCTATTTGAATTACTTTAGCCAATATTTCCAAGTACTCTCTCTCTCTCTGTATATGTGTGTGTGTGTATATGTATATGTATATATATATATGTATGTATGTATGTATGTATGTATGTCAATGATCAGTTAGATCATTTTCTTTGGAGAATCCCTTTCCTTTCCAAAAGCTATTTTATGTGGCATGTGCAAACCCCGAGGATCTGAAATAACATTGAGCATTTTAGGAGTTGATTTCTCCCTATTGTAAAAATAGTGTTGTTGCTAATTCTAGTTATAATTTAAAGATTTATAAAACTTAATTTTTAAGCATGCCTCAGGGATCTTAAGTAATGAAATAATTTGCTCTGGGTTCAGGATTTCACAGACCTCTGAACATGGCAATTGCCTGAGGCTGTTTAAAAAGAGCAAAGCTTGCTTCTTGCCCTGATGTCAAATTTTCTTGTACCATAATCACTGCAGAAGAAAAAAGAACCATTTTCTTAGACTCTGGAATGTTGCAAGTAAATAATTCTGAAAGTGCTGTTCCATGGTTCATAATTGCTTTATTTCGAACTTCCAGTTACTACCGGAGAATGATAAATTAAGGTTGCTTGTTAGTTATCTTCTGCCACGTAAAGTGTTTTGAGTTGCAGTAGTTCTCTAAAAGTACGTTCTGGGCCTGTCAGGGTACTCAGTGCTGTCCAGAGTGAGGGGTGCTCCTTCTGGACCAAGTCCTGTTCAGTGGCTTTTTTCAGAGCCTGTGTGCTCCTGTTCATACCAAGTCAGTCTAAGCTTGACAGTGGACTCTTCCTATGTGCAATCTCATTTTTTAAATGGTTACGTGCTACCCAGGTGGCATCCATAATGGAAGGAAAAACTAAGATAAATATGTCTTTATAGAGAAATAAGAGTAAGTACAGTGATTTCAACATGCTTACCAGGGAGCACCATATATATCTCTATCTATCTATCTATCTATCTACACACATATACATATACATACATACACCCACATATATTTTTAAATTTTATTTATTCTTGCATAGTTCATGGGGCTTGAACTCAGGGCCTGAATACTGCCTGTGAGCTTTTTTGCTCAAGGCTAGCACTCTACTATTTGAGCCACAGCTTCAACTTTTGGCTTTTTGCTTGTTAATTATAGATAAGAGTCTCACAAACTTTCCTGCCTAGACTGGATTCAACCTGAGATCCTCAGATCTCAGCCTCCTGAGTAGCTAGGATTACAGGCATGAGCCCAGCAACGTGTATGTATGTGTGTGTGCGTGTTTACACGCACGCACACACTCGCATGTATTTGATGTTCATGGGAGCTGAACTCTGAGCCTGAGCACTGTCTTTCAGCTCTTCAGCTCAAGTCTAGTGCCCTACCACTTGAGCCACAGTGCCGCTTCTGGCTTTTTTCTGCTTATGTGGTGCTGAGGAATCAAATCCAGGGCCTCATGCATGCAAGGCAAGTGCTCTACCACTGAGCCACCTTCCCAGCCCACGTATATTTTTGAGATTTTAAAGTATCTTAAGTTGTACTTAGCTTTGTTGGGTTTTTTTGTATATTTTTTTATTGTAAATGTACTGTACAGAGGTGTTACAGTTACATGAGTAAGGTAATGAGTACATTTCCTATCGTGCATTGTTACCCCCTCCTTTGTTCTTTTCCTACCATCCTTCCCTCCCCATCTTCCCGACTCCTCCCCCCACCCACCAAGTTGTAAAGTTCGTTTTCAACATAGTGTCTTGTACATCTCATTGTTACAATGGGTCAACCTGTATCCTTATTTCAGCATTCTGTTAATTTCCCTTCCACTCCCCAAATTAGAAAAATGTATATACATGATGCAGGGCACCGGAATCAAATACAGTGAAAACAGGGGTTATACCATGGGGGAAGAACATACATGGGGGAAGAAACAGAAAAATGATATAGTACCTTATAAATGCTTAGCTTTGTTAAATCACCAGGTTAAGTAGGCATGAAGTATGTGTCAGCTTGGTCACAGTGATGGCGAGACTCCAAGAGCTTGCAGACTGTAGATGTGGGCAGCCTTCCCAGACAGAGGGCCCCTGTTCATTGTGCCTGCTCTGGCATCTGAATAACTTGACTTAATCTTTCTGAACCTCCCATTTCTTCACCCTATTTTTAGCTAATTCATTCTGGATTAATTCATTCTGTATTGTGAAATGTACAATAATAGTATTTCAGTTAAACAGCTGAAGTCAAGACTAACTAGGTAAGCACAGTTGTGATGAGTAGAATTACCTGATACATGGCCAACTATATATTTATTGGAAATTTATTTGAGAGGGACAAACAATAAATGACATACTATGCAATTATCGATTCAAGATGCTATAAGTAAATCAGACAAGTATCAAGTTGATAACTTTCTGCTCCATTACTAAATGCTTTACCTAGAAAGTATTTTTTTTAATCATTTTATTGCTATTCCTATCAGTTATCATAGAAAGGTGGGCTTCCTTCTCCCAGTCTGTATGTGGCAGTGCAGATTAGGATCAGCCATGTAGGTGACAGTCTTAATTCCTTGAATAGAAATCAGTTTCCTCCTCTCCTCTCCTCTCCTCTCCTCTCCTCTCCTCTCCTCTCCCCTCTCCTCCCCTCCCCTCCCTTCCCCTCCCCTCTCCTCTCCTCTGCTCCTTCCCTCCCCCTCCCCTCTCCTCTCCTCTGCTCCTTCCCTCCCCTCCCCTCCCCTCCCCTCCTCTCTTTCTTCTGTTTTAAGGTTTGAAATCAGGATTTTGCTCATTAGACAAGAGTTGTACCATGTTAGTCTCATCTCCAGCCCTTTTCAGATAGCATTTCTTTTTGTGCACATTAGCCTTAGGCCTAAACCTTCACACCCACACCTTTTGCATTCTTAGAATTATAGGCCTGTTCCACTATGCCTGGTTTGTTGATTGAGATGGAGCCTCACTAAGTTTTTGTCTAGACTTGTTGTCTGGACCATGTTCCTCCTGATCGCTGCCTCCCAAGAGTCTGTGATTGCAGGTGTGAGCCAACAGACACAGCCTAATGTGGTTCTAAATGACCCTCTCTGTAAGTGTAAACTCCAGACAGAATAACTATGTTACTTACAATAGTCTAACAAAGGCAACAGAATATTAACATGGCTTATCCTTTACATAAACAGGAACTATGTAGGATAAATCTAACAAAATGTGCAAAATTTATATGCTGGAAACTACACATCAATAAAGAAAAGCCAGGAAGACCTAAATAAATGGAGAAAAATTAATGTTCGGGATGGCCAGACTCAACCCTGAGGGTCAGTTCTCTCCAAATGGATCTATAAATTCAATACAACCTCAGAGCACAGGAAGACTATTTATAAAAATTGACTGAGTAATTAAAAATTTATATAGAAAAATAAAGTAGAATAGCCAAAAAATCAGAAAAATGATTATCAGATGTTAAGAACTTACTGTTTTACTCAGAACAGTGTAGTGTTGGCAAGAGAAGTGACATGTCAGTCAGTAGAAGAGAATCACACGTTAGGCTCACACTCATGAATTATTGACTTACAGGAAAAGCCAAGGCTGCTCAGTAGAGAAGGGACAGTATTTTCAACAAATGTGCTGAAAAACTAGACAATAAAATGCAAAGAATTAAACCTCAGTCCACTTTTCACATTGTATATATAAAAATGTCATATGTAATCCTAGCTACTTAGGAAGCTGAGATCTGAGGATCACTGTTTGAAGTCAGCCAAGTCAGAAGAGTCTGTGAGACTCTTATCA